TTGTCTTACTCTGCTGTTGTAAGCCACTTTCATCACGCTGTCATCGTTAATGATCACATGGTGATTTGGGGAGATGATGCCTGAACAGCGAGGATCACTGAGGGGACTTGGCACGTTAGACCGTTGGATAAGTGCTGAATGATTTAATGCAGAGCTATTCAACTTTGGAAGGCCCAGGGGCCACAATGATACTCACAGCACATGCCGAGGGCCGCAACTTAAGTGTGGTTGCATATACATGCAAATATATATGCAAATAGCTCCTGGAACCTCCTTCCTGGGAGCTAGAAACACCGAATCCCTGTTCTTGGCACGTTAGACCGTTGGATAAGTGCTGAATGATTTAATGCAGAGCTATTCAACTTTGGAAGGCCCAGGGGCCACAATGATACTCACAGCACATGCCGAGGGCCGCAACTTAAGTGTGGTTGCATATACATGCAAATATATATGCAAATAGCTCCTGGAACCTCCTTCCTGGGAGCTAGAAACACCGAATCCCTGTTCCTGTCTGTTTCAGCCAGCCCGTCTGCTTGCGTCTTTCAATGCTCACCCTGCCTGGGAGACGCCTCGCTGTTGTGGAGTGTGTTCCCAGTGGAGGTCATGTTCAAAGGATCCCATCGGCGAACCTGAACCGCACCACAGGCCACAAATAAACTGGCAGTGGGCCGGGTGTTGAGTAGCTCTGGTTTAATTCGTGCAGTGGATAGAAAGATTACATTCACTTTTTCCATTCCAAAGACGGGACTTTAATTTTTCCCTTTAGATCCAAGAAGATGGATAGTTCTTGGGAAGCTGTTCATCTCAAAGTCCCAGGATACGGCTTACAGGTAGGCACATGTGCTTCTTGCAACTTCCTGTCTGTAGTGCTTTGATGCGCTAGTTAGGAAAGCCTGACTCTACAGATTGCGTTGCAGTTTCAGGCCGTGGAAGAGGATGGTGAGAGAGGAGCTGGTTTATTGGCTACACTCCCATTGGGACCAGAGGGTCAAGTCTCATAAGGATTCTGCCCTTTCGACATAGGTGCTGGGGGTGCTGCCACATCCCCTGGCTTGAAATGGTTTCCATCATATACATGGTTTACAATTTGGTTTTAATGGCTTTCAGCATCCCCACTGTACAAGTTGTTCCAGCACCTCTGCCTTCTAAGGTGGCCAAGTCAAGTTCCATTCACTTTACTGTATTTGTCTTGGTCATGTGTTTGTCTGACTCTCTTCCATGCTGTTTAGCACCTGGGGTGAAATAGAAGCTCTGTTGAGGACAAGTCTAAAATTCCCATTGACTTCATTGTTTCCAGATTTTCACCCTCTTTTTTTTTTTTTTTCCCAGAAAAGGCCTTAAAAACCACATTCCTGTGTGCCCTTTGTGAATGCAAAACTCTAGTGGGGCTTTTTATAAGAGCAAGGATTTGCCCCCTATTTTTTCAGCCAAACTCTTGTCTACTTACTGTTGTGGTTAGCTGCTGCATGCCACACCAGAAGTGTCTGCATTCTTTGTGCTCTGTGTGTGTAGTAGTAAGTGCTTCGGGATGCAAGACACTATATAAAAATGTTTATAATCTTGGTAGTGGACTGTATGGAGAGCATGGATAGAGTTTTAGATAATGCCGTTAGCCTATGTCCTGTACATACGCATGCACTTTGTCTAGCCTAGGTCTTCCTGCCTCACCAGCACCACACATGGGCTCCTGTGACTGTTGTATTTTTAATTGCACTCTCTTGAAGGAGTCTCTTTTTCTAATTCCAGAGTAGAGACCTTGACCACAATCACAGGCCTCGACACTCTCTAGCTGCAGGCCAGGAAAGAGCCACCCACAAACACAGAGACCGCTCTAGGTCACGGAGCCAGTCCTGGTCTCCTAAGAAAGACCCTGGCAAGAAGAGTACAGGCGAAGAAGAATCTGGGAATAGGAGGTCAAGATCTCCTCCTAGGCATGGTAAACAGTGAGTGTGAAATCTTAACTTTGAAGTAAAATAAAAGCCATGCCTGGCTTCTCTTTGGGGAGGAATTTCTAGAAATCGTGGTATCTGCACCTGCAAAAATGATCTGCAGATGTAAAGCAGATAGTAAGCCCATAGACACAGATTTGCAAGGCTTTAGACATCAGTTGAAGGCTCGGCAACAAAATCCCTGTTATTACCCCATCAGCCTCCTCGTAACTCTTTCATACTGTTTCTGCAACTTTGATTTCTCACGTCACTTTTTCCCAATGACTTGAAGTGAAAGCTGATGGAATTATAGGTGCTTAGCTTTGCATCATGTGGCCAAGGGGCTGTTTGGTAGCTGCTGTAGAGGTCTCCAAAGCCACACACAGGACTTGGGAAAGATTTGATATTAAGTAAGTAAATAATTATAACCCTGGAATTATAACCCTGGAATTATCTCTTTATCCCAGAAATGAACAAGGAAATACAGGGTAGGATGAGAGCGACCCTATGAATTAAAATGTATAGAGAGAAGTTGTTTAAATTTAATCATTCTTAAGGTGGAAAGGTTTTTTGTTGTTGTTGGGTTTTTTTTTTTCAAATATTCTCACTCCACGGATGCTTCCTTCTGCTTCTAAACCCTTATTGACCCTTCCCCCTGAAAGGAAGTTTAATAAAATTTTAATCAAAATCCCTACCCCAAGCAAAGTTGTAACTCAATAAAAGGAGAACTGCCAAAGACACCATGAAATCCCCTAAGGACTTTGCTCCTGCAAATTTTACATGGAAGGGACTCAGGTACTAAGATGATCGGTGACTGTATAAAACCCTAAAATATACTGTTAAAGGGACATTGGCAATGTGGAATCTAATCAATTTGTACAAAATAGTTTCCACCCTCAGTCTCCTTGCCCATTTGTGTGTAGTTTTTATGCACATTTTTGTATTCATTAAAACTTGTTTCCCTCCTCTTACTGTGAATAAAATGATCCTTACAGACAAGAAAAAAAGGAGGGGGCAACTAATACTCAAAGTACAGTCAAATGCACAAAACAGACAACTGGAAGAATTTTTTTCTTTTTAATCTTTTTCAGTTATAGCCTTTCTAGGGGCTCTTTGTTTTTAAAAATAAAATCAGAGTGCAATTTTTTTTGAAGTTGATACTGTTCGAGGGTTATTCTGGCATCACTGCCTTTAACAAAGTATTTGTTACCATGAGATCCTCTGACAAATATGTGAAGCAATTATTGTCATGAATCTTTACTTCCACTGTTATTACGTGGTTACTAATTATTCCCTCCTGGTGCAAAAACGTAGGCTGAATGAAAATCAAATGATTGAAAAACACCCCTAAGGATACAAAATCATTTAAAAAAAAAATAACATCCATTCCGCTGAAGATGATGCACCTGGAAATATGGGAGAGCTCTTATTGCAAAATGCCTGTGAGAGTCGTTGCGGTCTGTTAGATATCTGATTAATACTGGAAGGGGCTATAGATCTGTAGATATTCTGTATATGTGATGTTAATGTTTTTCCTGGATTACAGGCACAGTACCAAAGTGGACAAGAAAGAAAAGGAAAGAGCTCGGAGCCCTTCTCCTAAAAAAGGATACCGACGACAGCATGCTTCAGGCTATACTAGGTAGGCAACATGTTTATAAGGAAGCTGTCCATGCTGACCCTAAACTAATAGTGAGCTGTGCAAACACATAATTCTATTAACTAAAATAGACCAAAGATCAAGTGAACAGTCCTGACTTGGATACGTCAGGGTTTGTTGTGTTTTAACATCTCATAATGGGAAGCGGCACGATGCGTGTTCTTCCTGGCTGTCAGTTGTTCAGCTGCCAGGTACCAGCCGGCGGAGGCGATCACAAAATTGTTTTCATCCCACAGACTGGAAGCTAGGAGATTAAATTTCAAAGTTGTCAGGATAATGCGATGCCCCATTGGTGTCCTCTTAACAATCAGTTTAAAAAATAAAAAGCCTTGGGTCTCATTGGGCGTTGGAGGAAAGGAGAATAGTGAAGATCAAAATACAAAAGACATTCCACTTAGGTGTGTGCTTAAACACTTTGCTGAAACAAGGCCTAAAAGACAACTTGTGTCAGAAATGCCAAGAGTTTTAGGGCCAAACAGCTGTTGTAGAAAATATCCTGGAGCGATGGTGGTGTTGCCCACTTCTGTCTTATAAGGAGTGAGATGCTTAGGTTGCCAGGTGTCCGGTATTGAACTGGACAGTCTGGTATTTTTGCCTCCTGTCCAGTACAAAAAAAATTCAGAAAATACTAGACACCTAAAATGTCCGGTATTTTCTGAATTTTTTTTTTCCTGGCCAGGAGGCGAAAATCCCGGGTGCTTACCGTGTTCCGCAGGGGAGCTGTCCAGCCCGGTGCAGAGGGGCAGCTGGCGAAAATCCCGGGTGCTTACCGTGTTCCGCAGGGGAGCTATCTAGCCCGGTGCAGTGGGGCAAGATGGCGGGCAGCCACCAGCAACCTGTTAAGGCCAAAAAGCCTCAAAAGCGTTTCTTAAAGGGTCCACTCTGGTTTTAAAAAAAAAAATTTTTCTTAAGCGTTTCTTAAAGGGTCCACTCTGGTTTTTAAAAAAATAAAAATTTCTTAACTCTCGGAGTCCTCTTTTTTTTCCCTCTACAACTTTGATCTCCCCCCTTTTTTTTCTCAATAGAATTTTTTCCCCTGTGTGTGTGTGTGTGTGTGTGTGTGTGTGTGTGTGTGTGTGTGTGTGTTTTTGTTTTTTTTGTTTTTTTTTTTTGTGGGGTGGGGGAGGTGTTCGGTATTTTTGGCTAAACCATCTGGCAACCCTAGATGCCTTCTTGAGTGTATTCATACTTCAGGGCCACAACAAACAAGGAAGTTCTCCTATGGGATTGCTGTGAATCCAATGTGAATTCCACATTGGAGTTTGGGAATGGGAGGGGCGGGATGGGGTGGCAAACTGAGTGTAATTAACAGTGCTATTTCTGCCTCTGAACAGGAAGATCTCCGCAGAGGAGCTAGAGCGCAAGCGTCAGGAAATGTTGGATAACGCCAAGTGGCGGGAAGAGGAGCGAGCGAACAATGTCAGGAGACACCGGAAAGAGGAGGAGCGGGAACGAGAACTGGAGAAACTCAGGTCCCGAGATGGGAAATTCCTACAGTGAGTATCTCGCTTGCTTGTGCCTCCTAGATGAGTTCTGCGCAGGGAATAATCTCTCGAGGGGTGGATGCCTCAGCGGATGAGACCACTGTAGAGAATAATCCTGCACAGGTTGTAGGACGGGACGAGGTGCAACCCGATGGAGCTGTCTGATTCCATATTGTACAGTTAGGCAAAAACACACATACACAAATTAACCCTCTGTTCTAACTCTCTGAAAAAGAAGGACGATGGCTGCCCGGGCACTCAGTGCACATTATTCGTAGAGCGCTGCAGAAACGTGCGGTGTTCCACAAGCAGACGAAGTCCCTCTTATCAGAACTAGGGATGTAAAATCTCATTTAATTGGCTAACCAGTTACATGTAATGACTAATCAATTAAAGGAGGGGCAGGCTCGCGTGCCTCCCGCCTGTGCCCCCCTCCCCACCATGGACAGGGGCTACTTTAGCTCTCTGGAGCAGCCCCTGTTCATGGTGGGCCCCCCCGGCGAACTGGAATCAGTAAGCATCACCCGTTAACCGTTCACGTCCCTACTCAGAACATGCCCTATCAAAGCCTGATCCCACAAATTGCCTGTGCACAGATCTCCTGTGGGATTGGGCTGTAAACTAGATCAAAGAATGACAAGAGACCATGGAGATAAGGGGTCTTTGTGAACACAAGGGGTGAGATCTTAGAACATAAGACCGGCCATACTGGATTAGACCAAAGGTCCGTCTAGCCCAGTATCCTGTCTGCCGACAGTGCCGATACCAGATGCCCCAGAGGGAGGGAACACAACAGGTAGTCCTCACACGATCCCTCCCCATCACCCATTTCCCCTTCTCTCCCCACTCCAGGCTCTTTATTTTGGATAAGAGTTGGAGCATTGTAAAGTGACTTGAAAGCCCCATGTCAGGGTGGGGAGGGATTATCCCAGTGCGGAATCTGAGCAAAACAGCTGTATGGGTGTTTGCTGAGAGCCCCCTCACAGACCTGGGCAGAGGAGGGATTGCAGGAGTAGGATTGCAGGAGTAGGGCTGCAGCCCTGTGGCACCCCTATGCTGGAGGCCATTCTAGCTCATGGAGCAGCCCAGAATTGGGGAGGTGCAAAGTAGCTAATCACCAAGACAACCCTCCTGGGCCAGGTAGATTTCCTCCTCCCCCTCTTAGACAAATTGTGCATATTGTGTGTGGCCTGAGGGTGTGGAAGGAACACACAATGTTGTTTGATAACGTGGCTTGAGTCTTAAAGATAATACGTCAGTGACTGCAATTCTCCCTTCTGGTCTGTAGCTACTGTTGCAATTTACAGCATGCGCAGTAGCATTCGAGTTCCCAGAGGAGCACTGCCCTGGTTTTGGGGACAGATTGCTTTTCCCTCTTGGAGGCTTCCCAGAAAGTCGCCAGATCCCCAGTGACAGATACATTGGTAATTAACATTTCTGTTTGGAAGGTTGAGGAGAAATTGGGAACTGCTTAAAATCTATACAGAGAAACATGGACCCTGTTTATACGGTATTTAGTCTGATACAGGCTAAGCTGTAGTCCTTCAGCTTTTCCAGTGCAGACTAGGGATGTTATAGTGTAGTCGATTAACCGATAAGCAAAAGCTTATAAATTAATGCTATAGACTACACGCATTCCCTCCCCTCCCCGCCAGTAAATTTTTTTGTGCCTGGTTCAGGACCCCTATCCCTGCTGCAGCTCTGCATTTAAAGTGTATTAGGAGCCAGGTAGGCAGGCAGCCTGGCTCAGTTCCAGCTCACAGTGGGTCCAGGAACTTAGACCCTCTCTGGACCGGGGCTGCTGCCACTCCACACTGCTGCCTCTGTATCAGAGGCAGGGTTGGCGGGGGGGGCAGCCGGTCCACAAAGGGAGCTGGTTTTTAAACTGGCTCCCCTTGTGGACCAGCTCCGGCCTGGCACCCCATGCTGCTGCCCCTGATACAGAGGCAGCAGCATGGATTGGCAGGGGACTCCTTGGGAGTGGGGCTGGAGCACACTGACTGCCAGCCTCACTCCCAGGGGGACTATAGAATAGTTGAGTAACCGATAAGAATTCATTAGGTTAGTCGACTATTCAGTTAACTGGTATTTAACATCTCTAGTGCAGACTGCACTAGGAAGCAGCAACCTGTTTCCTTCTTTAGTTCATGCATGAGAGTCCAGGAACCATGAAACTTTACTGGGAAGAGTTAACAGTTGGAAGGCTGGTCTGACTTTTTCTCCAATTCTTCTGCAGCCATATAAAACTGGAGAGTGCATCCACTTCCTCTGTAGAGGATCGGGTCAAACGCAACATCCACTCCATCCAGAGAACACCAGCTGCCCTGGAAAAGAACTTTATGCAGAGATAAAACTTTCTCTCCTCTTGCTAATGTGGCTCAGGGCTTCTTCAGAATAGTTCACAGGACACTTCTTCTCAGAGGCGAGCTGCCCTGTGTGTAGAGGGATCCTCCAACAACCTACACAGACTCCTGCAATGATATTTACTCTGTGAAAAGGAGCTGGACTTCACTACAGTAGCACAGAGTTCCTTGGCCTTCTAGCATTGTGAATGCATTGATACCCAGAGTATTAAATTGCAACAAGCTGTTTGCTGGAGTCACCCCCCATTACTACCCTTATTTACTATTTTTTAAATTTTGCCAGATCCTGCTTCTTGTTACCCACCTAAACCAACAGCCATTTTTAGACTGTTCTCAGACACAGATTTCTGGTAATTAGTTACCCGATTAATTGGGCAAGTTGACTTCTTTCTATGCCTGAGAGAGGATCGGTTTTATCTATTTGTAGCATCATCTTTGACCACATTCAACTCTCCTAACTTCTGTGAAGTTACACCAAAGGCAGACTTAGCATGATTAGTATTCACTGTTACTATTTTGGGACTAGGCAAGGAAGGGTGGATGGAGTTTGTTTCAGCCAGAACTGATCTGTGAAATATCTGTAGAAATATGCTGAATTGCTCAAGGGTTTGAATGATAATGTGCCAGCAAGGCGGAGGCTTGAGCAAGGGGAAAAATGAACTGAAATGATACTCAAACGAGATGCAGATGATAGAATACCATATTCCTGTGGGATTCTGTACATGTGCACAACGTAATGCGCATAAGTACAGGTGTGTATATCTGACTAAATTTTTTTAAAGTACTCTTTTTAAATGTCTAACCCTCTTTTCTGGAAATGACTCCGATTCTAATTGCAAAGAGGACGATCACTTCATAATTCAGGGCCAACTAGGGATTTGTGCAGTAGCTTACAGCAGCCTTAGAACCCCCCTCTCCCTCCCGGCATTGAGATGAAAATGTGTATTTTACATACAAAAATAAACTTGTGCTGATCAGCAAGTAAAAAAAAAAAATCGCAATGCTGAGTTACAAAATTCTGTTTGCTCACTTTGGGGAAGGGGCATTATTTGGAGGTGGGGGTAGGAACAAGAGAGATTTAAATGGAGTTTCTCCATTTTATGAGAGGTTAGGCAAATATACTGTGTACTGAAGAGAGCAAATTTTTGTGACAGCGCTGCAAAGTTGATTTAAGTACTTTCTTTGAATTGACCACACCATATAAGATGTTTTCCTTTGGCAGATAATAGATCTATAGTAGCTTTCTGTTGGGTTATTCTAAAACCAATACAAATGGGAGTCAGAAATGAACCCATTTAATTTAAGCAACTTTTAAGTTTTACCTGAAAAAGATGGTATTTCTTACACCTGCCTTTGTACATTGTTAGTGTGAATTTTTCATCTTTACAGTAGTGGATTCTATTAAATGTGATGTGGCCTGCTTTACAGCTGTGTGGTCCGTCTCTTGGCTCATAACCACTTTGGTCACAAAAAAACAGCAGGAGGCAATAGCAGAAAAGGCTGTAATTCTAAAGAGAGATTAGAGATTAATTGAAAAGGGGCTGTATCAAGACATTTGAGGTTCCCTGAAGCATTAATCAGATTTACACTAAACAAGGAGTCAGCAACCTTAAATACCTACAGTCAGGTAAGGAAGTAAATCAACCAGTTGCCATCATTGAGGATATATATGGCTAGACTGTGGGGTTTTGGGAGGCTAGAGGAATCCCGAAAAAACTGCCGCATACAGAGGCTGGGTTTGCTCTTCCTCTTTTTTTGCTCTACGCAGGCTGGGTTTGCTCTTCCTCTTTTTTTTTTGCTCTACGTGCTCTTTCGGAAGCCCCTGTAGTCCTCATTCCATGAGGAAGAAGGGGGCTTTAGAAAGAGGGTTTTGTTCTGACATGTGGCCCAGTCTAGACGGGCCAAATTTCAGAAAAGCCTCTTCCGTTAAAAGTATCGGAAAAAGACACACAAAAGGCACTCCGCATTTTGCGTATCTTTTTTCCCATAGATCCTCACACTCTAGCTGTACCCTCAGCTAGATCAACTACAGCTGTGTCTTTCCTTGTAGTTCTAGAGGAAAGGTAGGCTCCCCCTCTGCCTCTCACGGGACAAGTCAAGGGTATTTTGTCCTGTCCTTATGTTGGTGCCTTTGGGGAACAGGAGGGGAGGGAAAAGCTGCCCCCAGGGGCAATTGACGCCCCCCCAGAGTGTAGGCTGGGGGTGGGGGGACCAGAGGGGCAGGTCCCATCTTCCTCACAACGTAGGGCTCTAGGAGTGGGAGCTAGGGGGACCCCCCGGCACTTCCCCCCTTGCAGCACGTGCCAGAGGGGGAGGGAGGAGGCTGCCAAGCGCCACCCCCCATGTGCAGCGGAGCCCCTGTCGCTCGCCCTTTACGAATGTGTGTGACACAGCTAGCAGGCCATTCATAATTCCAGGCGCCTCGCTGCTTATTGGCTACAGCCGGGCTGGGTGGGGCCTGGCGTGATACGTCACTCAAACTGGGCGAGACCATCCCTGGCGAGAGAGGGAGGATGGCGTTATTTTCCACGCCGCTTCTTTACCCCGCCCCTTCTGGCGGTTCCCCCCTCAGCCCAGAACGTCGGACGTATCCGTGAGATTTCCGAAGGGATCGCGTTCGGGGCTAGGCCCGGACCAGGCCGTGGCTCCCCTTCTTTACGCCCGTGCTCTCCCTACCCGGTGCCAGTGTGGGAATGGTACGTCCCACCCCTCCTCCTCAGCGCTCCGCCATCTTGGCGCCTCCTCAGTGCGGGAGCCGGAGCGGGCTCGGCCGGCTTTGGCGGCTCCCCCTTGGGCGGCGGAGGGAACCACTGCAGGGACGGGGAAGGGGGCAGCTCGCGGGGCGGGCGGTACCATTGCAGGGAGACGCTCGCGAGCCGGGCCGGCCGGGGGGGGG